CAGCACATCCATCTGTGAGGTGTCAGGAGGATATTCATTATTTGTGTTCTTAAATTTGGTGATTCATACTTGGGGATTACTAATCAACTTCTATTTACAGAGGTGTAAAATCACAGAGGAAATGTACGAAATGTAGGAAACTCAATTTGAACAGAATATATGATGCTTCAAACTCCAATAGTCTCCTAACAGCCGAAGTTATCTATGACCAGAACAAGTTCCTTTTTTGAAAGAGAGACCAGCAGGTTAAAGCAACTATAAGGAGTTTTTTGACATTTATGCCTGAAAAAGTCTGAAATTCATTTTGATGCCCTTTCATGTTATTCAAAAGCAAACAAGATCATCAGCGACAAGACTGATCATTTGTTTATTATCATTTTTAATACCCGAAACTGCTGTGAGGGGGTGTGAGGGGGTAAGTGTCAGTCAAGCATCAGCTAGTACAACTGAAAATGTGAATTATAGATGATACTGATACTGTTTAGGCAGTCAAGAGTCAGTCAGATGAGATTTTTATTTATTCATTTTTTAAGACATGACTTTAACATATAAAGAGCTAGATCAGCAAAGACTGCTTTGATCACACAGCTAAATTTGACACAAACCAAAAGTTCCTCACAGGAGCTTTAAATTGTGACAATTTGAAGATTTTGCATCAAAATTTAGAATCTACAGGCCCAAGCAGGACCAGATATCTGTACCAGCGTCTCTGGTGTTAGTCTAAAATACCACTAATATAATCCATTTGTCTTTCAGGGAGCGTTGACTATTTGCAGTAGAACTGTCCAAGTGAAGAGCAGTTACACAAGCTGTGATAATGAAATCCTGTCTTCCATCTGCTGTAATTTGGTGATGCCTGAGCTTTAATTAGTGCCCCCCCTCCCCCAAAGCATACAAGTGCCGGCAATAATCCTCCCTTAGAGGCTGTTTCCAAATACCAACTCCAACATCGCTTCATAAATTGCTAGTCAGGCTGTAAACAGGGGCAACACAGGACAAAAGGAAGTCATTGTCATTAGTCTTTCACCAGCCCTGAAAAGCTGGCCATCACTTTCAGAGACCAACATGATTGGATGAGAATCAATGGGTGAAGAGGTTAAAGAGTATGGTTCTTAGCAGTTTAACCCAAGAGATATTACCTGTCCTAACTACTTAGACATTTTTACACATGCGTTTATGTCTCAATTAGGAACATTTGCTATTTTATGAATTGTTGAGCTTTGTTTTTTTACTATTGTTGAAGCGAAGGTGCCAAACACTTCCCCTGTAAACAGTTTTACTTGGCAAGAATTAAATAATTTGCAAAAACAGCTGAGTGATGTCCTCTGAGGCTTTAAACCATCTTTGTCGAGGCTTATGAAAAGATGCTCGAGATGTCCTTGTGGAGTTGAATATGGGAGATTAAGGACTTAGTTTTTTTGTTGACATCATCCATAATAGGAACTTAGCAAGATGTATTAGTAAGTTTTGAATTTGAATTGTATTGGGGACTTATGTTTTCATCAACTTTTTAAAAACAGCCTAATTTACATTTGCAGTATGAAAATAAAACTGACGTGACTTCAATTTTATATTCAGTACTTCTTTTGAGGAATTCTCTGAATAATGTCAAACTGCTGCAGGCTTTTTTATGTACTGCAAAGACACATCCTTCACTTCACTTTCCAGCAAAAATTCTCTAACCAGAAATGGTCACATCATTCCCCTCTTTCCTTCCCCGCATCTTGTTTCTCTGCTTGATCACAGTGACAAATGAAAATAAGCCTTTGAACAAGCCCGTAGTTCCCCCTCGTTCTCCAAAAACTTGTTATCAGGTTGAATTTTCTCAAAGTAGGCTGTCATCTTTCTCATTTTATAAGCATGTGTGGGTGGGTGTTTCCCAGTAGAAAGATGTCCAAATCAACTGCCTACGTCTTTACAATAAAATGCCAAACCAGGATGCCACAACAAGTGAGTCATGCTCAGATAGCTACATGAGTCATTGTTGATCTTGTGGGGATTGAAGTGTGTTTCTTGCCCACAAGAAAAAGAAATCCTAATGTGTTTTAGTATCACTGTTTCATCTTACAAGGCTTTTTTGCTCGATCTTTATGATGGAAAAAAAGCTACTTTTGGCCCGCAAACCCACGTCTTTCTTTTCATTTATGTAAAAAGATTTCACTGACAGGAAGACTTGTTAAGGAGTCAAGTAATGATGTTTTTAGTGGCAGCTTTTTATATTTTGATAACAGAACAGACTGACTTTTTCAGGTTATTTCAACACTTTTACTTTAAGATAGCTATTTCAAAGGTCTATTTATATGCTGTGCTTGTCTATCATTTTCCCATTTTATACTCTTGGGACAGTGAGACTTCATCTTACCTCAAGCATTCATCCATGAGTTATAGTACACTATTTGAAATGTTTAATTTTCAAGCTCCTGTGCAAAATTTTTTGACCTTGATGAAACAGACTGAAATTGATAATACACTCTGTCACACCTTGTTATGATATTCAAAAACAAACAAGACATTTACATCTTAAATACTCACAAAATGTATATATTCAACAATCACTAACTACACTGAGGAAGGTGGAGACTATTCTAAAAAAACATGGATCACCCACTTCACAACACCTTAATGGACCAAAGGGCCAATGCTGGTGGACAGCTCCTCTCTCTTTGCTGCAGGACAGAAAGATTCAAAAGATCTTTTGTATCAACAGCCATCAGACTTTACAACTCTTCTGTAAATAGTAGATGACATTTGGATTTCACATGACAAATAGGACAACAGACAATTGAATTTCCCTTCGGGGATCAATAAAGTTCTTCTTATTATTCTTCTTATCAATGTTAGCAGGATGGCAGTTTTGGTTAGAAGATGCTACTTCAGCATCTATAAGACATGGTTAGCAAAGAATAGCACTAGTGATTTTACTTACACCATCATAAGCCTGAAGCTGAGGTGGGATCAAAAATTTTCTCAGAACAAATGAACAAACTACAAATTTGCCATTATTTTGGGCAAAAGGAGTTCGGAGGAATGTCACAGAAATGGAGCCAATATCCCCAACATCCACAGAGAGATCCCAGTGATAAAACTTGTGCTGTTGGCAGACTAATGTGAGTAACTTGTGTAAAAATGTAAACAGTCTTTCTAAAATGGTCATTTGCAAACATCTATGAGATAATCATATTGCTTGTGCTACTCTTTTCCCCTCATATCTGTGATTTTTGTCAATTTGTGGGTGGCTGAATATTGATGATGTTAACCAGTGGGCTATCAGAGGTTTTATAACATGAAGTGTGGCCCAGTCTCTCTCCTGATTTCCCATTCTGTTGTCTTTGTGGCTGCTTAATAACTGGGGAGCGTTGAATTTGAGGGGTTCATATGACTTGTGACCTGGAAAAACAGTAGTAGCCTAAAATGTAATTTGGACATACAGTCGATGGTCCATTGCTTTTACTAGTTTTTCATTCATTTTCATTCAATTTAAAGCTCCTGTGAAGTCATTTTGGATTAAGCCAATTTTGGCGCCCCCTCTGGTCATAGAAGTCTTAACTTGTCGTGTGCTGCTTACACCTACCCCCTCACACTGGTCTGAATTGAAACATGAGAAATCATCATTTAAAAGTTGCCAGTCTTGTCACGAATGGTCTTGTTTGCTTTTGTGTATGGTAGATAGGTTTCAATATGACTTTTAGTTTATTATAAACATCGAAAATCACCTGACAGATGTTTAAAACTCCATTAGGCCTATATATTTTTGAATAACTTTTTTCAGCTGATTTTTTAGTTTTACTTTTCCAACTATTTCCTATCACTTTAAGTATTCAAATGCAAATGCTGCCTGTTGTTACAACTTGGGTTGATCTGTTTCTGCTTTTTACAGCATTTTAGTACATATTATTCATTTTTCACCGGTTTCAATTGTTCATCCACAACTTAAAGTGTATCTTTTAGACTGCATTACTTCGAGCTGATTAGTTCAACTGTGTAATTGCTTGAGAAGTAAATTTCAATTGAAATATCAAAATTAAAACCATTCAACTTGTTTGTGTTTGTAGAGGACAAACAAGTTTCTTAATATGGGTTAAATTTTATTGTCAGTGCAGTTGAGGCCTCATGTTTGAGTTGTTAGAGAAATGACTGGTGGCAAAGATAATTAAAAGTTTAATCATCCGTGGAGTTATGGGAATTGTAGTACGCTATATTTATATTATGATGTGATAAAGAAATCTGCCCACTCACAGGACGGCCAATCCTGATCATTTATAGAAATATCTCGGTAGACACATATCTACGTGGTCAAACCTGAAGGATAGATTTCTTCGTTTCATCGAGCATAGGTTTTGAGACCAACTGACTGCATTTCCCAGAATCCCTGAGGCCTAAACTCCAAAGTCCTGCTCGTGCGGACGTGTTTGACAGTTATTCAAAAATGGGGAGCTGCTGTTGATAAGGCTGATAGCTTCGCGGTCAATTTTTGTATGCTATTAATAACCGAAAAATATACATTTTTACGGTCCTGCAATATTTGCCAACTGAGGATAAAGCGTTGTTCGTGACACAAAAACACTAATGTATGAACACCTGAAGGGGCAGAAAGTAATACATGGTGTTTAGCTGATCAAAGAGTAGTCAATTAATAGAGCGGGCTCACTCTGACACTATTTCAGGCCATCGTAAAGCATTGTAAATGTATTTCTATGTGACAGATAATGAATTTGTTTAATCTGACCAACCACAGAAATCCAGTGACAGTTTACATCAAACTACATTATTCTTTGCCATGTTTATGACGCATTTTAGACTCGCATTAGGGGAATAATTCAGAGGTTGTGTTTTCATTGTCACCACATTAGCTCCATGTGTTAAGTTAAAGTTGTAGTGATGTGTTAAAATTGAAAAACAAGTCATCCTCAACTAAAAAAATTCATATATAATGTATCTAAAATTGTATATCTGGTTTATAAATCTCTTTTTACTTCAAACCAAAGAAAAACAGTTCGTACCTCTTTAACCAAAATGGCCTACAAACCGAATAAGCTCATATGGCGAAGTGACACCTCTTATTAAGATACGATCTTTGCCACCAGCTAAGCTGCTATCGCTAACGGGCGACAAGTGGAGATTGGACAGCCCGGTTCCGTCCCTCGCCTCGGTATGATGCCTGGAGACAGCAACATGACCTCTATTGTACAAAGAATAGCCCGGCAGGCCCTAGTCACGTTCAGGAACACCCCTCGGGTAGGTGAAGCGGACGGTAAATCTTTCCTGGAGAACCACAGCAAACTGAAGAGCCTGATGACGGAAGTGCGAGCAGCGGACCTGAACCTCGTCCCGCGGAGAGCCGACGACATCTCGCCCCCTCCGCTCCAGTATCACAGCGGCGTGCCACCGGTGACATACATGCACATATGTGAAACGGACCATTTCAGCATGGGGGTGTTTTTACTTAAAAGTGGTGCTTCCATCCCTCTGCATGACCACCCGGGGATGCACGGCGTGCTTAAAGTCATGTACGGCAAGGTCAGGATCAGCTGTTTCGACAGGCTGGAGCGGCCAGCAGGCAGCCCGCAGCAGGACGAGCCCACGCTTCCCCAGGCGCAGATTGGAGCTCTGCGGCGATCAGTGCTCCGCTGCACCGGGGAGTACACGGAAGAGAGTGGGCCCTGCGTGCTCTCTCCTGACCTGGACAACTTACACCAAATCGACGCAGTGGACGGTCCCACTGCGTTTATGGACATCCTGGCCCCACCGTACGACCCGGACGAGGGCAGGGACTGTCACTACTACAAGGTTCTGGCTGATTCTGAGGTCAGCAACTCGGAACTGAAGGAAAAGGAAGTGTGGCTGATGGAAATCTCACAGCCCCCGGATTTCTGGTGTGGAGGGGAGCCTTACCCGGGCCCCGAGGTGTGCCTCTGATCCACCTGACTTTTATGTCTACTTTTCTCGTGTTGTTTTCCTTGGAGGCTTCCGGACTTGGCTGTTTAAACTGGGATAAATGAAGGGTCAATAGAAAACCTCAATTAATGGATTAGCAGCAGAAGAAACCATTTATGGTTTGACCACCAAATTAAAGGGTTAACTATGGGCTCTGTTCAGTAACTTTAAGGACTGGGTGACCACCTGAACCCAGAAGTTGGAGGCCTCATTGTTTGGTGTTGTTACTAGAGAATCCTGCTGCTGCAACTCAAAGGAGAAATATAATCCATCAAGTTTCTGTTTCACTTGAGCCCCAGGTGATAGAAACTTAGATCTAGTTTCAACAAAGATCTCTTTCCCTCTGGGTTTTATTCACAGGGAAGCGGGCAGATGAATAATATTAGATAATGTTGCTTAAATTCTTGGCTTAAAAATCCACTGAAAGGTTTTTGTATTGTGGGAGAAACTAAACTAAACACGTTTCTGATATTAATTTTCTTAATTTGTCATTATTACTCCGATGTTGTCAATGCTAGGGTACAATCTCTGTGCTCTGTAGTCACTGACAGCAGTAGAGGTCTCTTGAGGTTAGACACAGCAAAATTTCAGGACAATAGTGTTGAAGAGTGACTGCTGTACCTGGTGCAGCCAGTGGCAGTATCTCCATTTAAGTCGAGCCCTGGCTGCACCAACAATCCAAAATTAAAGATGTGATCGGCTCGGGGGTCACATGTTGTTTGAAATCAGTGACGTTTTATGAAAGGGGGTATAACTTTCTCTACAAATATTGAAGCATTTATCCAGCACTTAGCTTCGAGCCTTAAAATGTTGGAGGAATCTAAAAGCTCTGTTGGGTTTTTGAGAGGGCGCCAAGTAATGCCAAATAAGTGTTGCACATGGGTGCTGATGCTGCATTTAAGGAAGTCAGGAAGTCTGAAATTCCTGCTTGTGTCTGTTGTCAGAGTTGGCGCTTTCAAGTTATTACTACAGGTTAGAAACAGTAGAAGAAAATATCACACAGCAATACTATTGATAAGCTATAAATCCACTACATTTCAGCTTTCAGCATTGCATGATCATAGGTGTAGGGCTTGCTGACAATAAGCTAAAAATATACATTTCAAATGTGGTTATATCATAACAGTTGCTACTGATTGAATAAAGAATGCATTGCAACTCAGCTGCAGCTCTGAAACAAAATAGTGTAATCTGTAGTTACGTTGGGAATTCCTGACATTTCTTGAATGCAGCATTTCAAATGTCAGCATATAAACCTGAGTTGACAAAAGGCTTGAAGGGACCATAGTTTTTAATTGTCTTCCTGCTTTGAGTTTTGTGACATTTGTTTGGTTAGAAAAAAACAAAAAACTATGAAACTTCAGGTCTCTCTTTGTGAGACTTAAAAATATCTAAAAAAAAAATGCTTTTGCATTGTGAATAGGACTGTTTAAAAAATGGTCTTTTGTCTGGTTTTCTGTGAGAGTTTGATCCTCAGGGTTGTTTGTGAATTCTTTTGTTGACAGATTTTTGGGATTATATGTGACATATGTGCACTGAATCAGACTTGTTGGCACAAATGTTTCAATACATGAGGAAAAAGGTGTTTTTTTTCTGTGTGGTTACAACACAAGGATCATGAGGGGCTTTTATTACAGTTTAAAATGAAAGATTCATGAAGGAAAAAGGCAGGGTTAAATATATAGCCTTAATATTTAGGGTAGTTGTATAATAATACCAAACATGCAGTTGAATGATTTCCTGGCTTAGTAAAATAACTTACATTAAAAAAAAAAAAAAAGAAAAGGTTTGTTTCATGTTGGAAATAACCGTGTATTTCCAGAAACTGGCGATACCTTGAAATTAAAGTCTAAACATCTGCTTGCAAAGTTTAAAAGTCTGATTTTAGTCTAGATTGTTTATAAATATGAAATAATGCACTATAAACCACTTTAATTTGTTCATCTACAGTCTTTGCAACCAACACATTTCAATCATAATGTATTAAAGTGAGAATCTAGACCCCAAAGGTCTGTTACGAGCTGATGATTCACCAACAGAAGGCTGTTTATCTCTAAACCCAATGCGAAAATGAAAACAGTAACTGTCTGTGTTTAGCCTGTAAAGGAGGATTTCTGTCACTGTATATGAAAACTGCTGTTTATATTGGCGAAACATTTCTGCTTTACTTGTCTAAGACTGTGATGAGCTGTGATTGAGAGATTTGGACATGCAAATATGTTTTGGAGAATTTTCTCATCCACTCTGCTAAATGTTGGCAGAATAAAGTTGCCTCAATCAAGTTGTTGACCCTGACTTTTTCTTTCAGCAAAAAATTTCACTTCAACATACTGTGAAGGTTGATGACGAAAACTATTTTTGCCTTTTGTTTATTTATTCATTTATTTATTTGGAATTTTTCCCTTCCATTGAACAAATAAAGGTTTATCTTATCATATAAACTTCTGACATTTACAAGGTCATATCTAAATGTCACACTCCTGATATTTTAGGGAACTTGCCCTAAACACACCCGCACCTCACAGCAAAATGTAGACTCTGCTCTTCCTCAAACCACTCCTTCCCCACTTCCACTCCTCAGAGGAGTGAACTCAATATGAAGCGAAGCCCACAGCATCATCAAACAACCCCAAAATTATAACGTCAACATCAATGACGTCTCTGGGACGTTAATCATAACGTCCCAAAAAAGTTTAGTCTTTCACTTAGTGTAATTCAATAGGTGAAACTTGTATATTACAGATTCATCAAACGAACACAAAGCGAAATATTTCAAGAGTTTTTTGGCTTGAATACAGGTCAACAAAGTCAACAATCTACTGTCTATGCCAAACGAAATTACGGAAGAAAAATGAACTTTTCTGGGACAGGCAGGCAGAAGTTTGTGAGTGAATGCAGATACAAAGTAGATGCTTTGTCAAATTATTGCACATTTAAGTCAAACATAGTTTCCTTTAGATCACCTTGAGTTTAATGGTCACCATCAGCATCACTGAATGCAGGTTAAAGGCACTGTGAGGATTTTTTAACTGGTTGAGAAACAGTCTGAAACTGACATCTACGCCTCTGTATGACTTTCAAAAGCAAACCAGACTGTCAGCAATGAGGCTGATAACTCCTCTGTTGTAAATGCAACTGTTTTAAAACTGCTGTGAGGGGGTAGGTGACAGACTGGATGATGGGCAGCAGACAGTAGAAATGAGTAGTTTTACTTTTTCCATGACAAATACTCAGAGTAAGTATCACATTTGGCTCTCAGAAGACAACAGGGGGAAGTTATCTGAAAACACAACTTTCTAATGAACAGGACAAGAGATAAGGGGTATCGCTATTGGCCACATGGGTTGCCAAAACTGTAAGAAAAACCAAGAGTTTCTCACAGCAAGTTTAGTTAATTAACTCATAAAAAGGTGGTTTGAGTTACGGAGTAAAGGATGGGAAAAGAGAGAAAGTGAATTATGTTCTCTAGCATTGGAAAACGTGAAACTCACTGTGGAAGTCTATCAACAGCAGATAACATATAGACGGGTTTCTGTGCAACGTTATCGCAGGTATGCGCACACAGGGCAGAAAGTGGGACATTTCTTATTTGTTTACTAGCGGAGTCAACAGAGAATAAAAGAGAAAGGAGCTGTTGTGCTGCAAACCGCACGAATCGGCAAAACAAACAATCAGCAAACATTACGACCCTGCTCCTGATATTAGAAACAGCTAAAATAAACGTCACAACCTGGTAAGTTGAGTGAAAGTGTTTTTCTGATTTTGATGCAATGAAAGACAAAGCGATTTTTCAATGAAATGGCATTTGAATGCAATTTTGTCAGGGAGAACTTGCAAACAATACAGCATCTTCATTGATATCAGTTCATTCCAAAGCAGGCTTTTGCCCCCTGGTTGCGCGCGCATCTTATATTGCTTGTACATAAGAAACCTAGTAAACGCTGACTCAACCTGGCAGTGGACACTCAAGGAACTGCAGTTTTAGCATTTTTAATTCTGCACTGGCCTTGTTTCTCAAGACTGAAAATTGTGGTACAAACCCCAAATAAAAACTATGTCTGAGTGCAGATCCAAGTTTGGCTGATAACTGATCTAAATTTCATTTTTAAAAACCACAAAACTTCTGTGAGGAGTTATGAGCTGGTTATAAAAGACTCAGACCTATTCCCAGGCCTCTTTGTGACCTATACAACTCTAGGAGACCATCAGGGACCATCATAACTTGTCGATCTGTTGATTGTAATATCTGTGACAGTTGTATGTGTTTGTGAGTCTGTATATTAGAATATAAAATAAACACAGAGTTCATTATGTATTGTAAAAAGCAAAAGGAGACAGGGAGCAACAGTTTGACAAGTCAACATTTATTTGCATCAACAAGAAGCATCAGTCCAGCAGAATAAAAGCTTTAGTGCTCGACTTTCTTTTGCATAAAAATTACAAAACAAAAGACACAACTTTCATTGGACTCTTTCTCTCTTTCTCTTACATTCATCAGGTAGAAATGCTGGTTTGTTCTTTAAAAATATCAACAGGTCCTTAAACATCCCAGACTGCAGCCAAAAATAAAGTCTAACCCAACAGAAACAGATTATCAGGCTACAATCTCATAATATCCCCACAACGTAACAGAGCTGCAATAGAACCAAACTCCCTATCATGTGCATAAAACAAACATCTTAATGTCAGTGTTTAAACTTTCCAAATATGATACAAAATCAGGTTTAAAAAAGCTCAACTTTGCTGCATCAAGCAATTAGGGCCCGTGTCCACTGATGGCATTTTCTGCCACAACCTCCATTTAAGAGCACTTTCTGGTGCTGACTGTCGTTGTGTTATAAAAGCTTTCCACTTTTGACCTTTAATTCTGTTTTAAAATGTTACTTAAGTTCAATAAGCAGTTCCTCTCAACAACAAAGAAAAAATTTCAAGAACAGAAAGAAATTGTGTCATGGCATCAGTAGCAGATCAGACCTGGAAACTGTTCCCTTGAAACAGGTCTAAATAGTAGGACTGAAAATGACCAACTGCATTGGTTAGCTATGGATAATGAGCGCTGACAGTAAAAAGAAAAATGTGCTAGTGGACACAGGCCCTTACATTTTCACTGAGTCTTTCACTGAAGCCCCGCCCTGATTTGTGATACACCATCTTAAGAGTATCACTGCTCCCCTCACTTCAGCAAGCCTTATAAAAACTGAAATGTGTGCAGACAGTGTCAAACCAAAATAGTGGGTGTGATTCCAGTTTTACAAGTGGTTTTAAATTTATATCAACCGTTAAACATTTCAAACCTATTTTAGAGCTCATGTGTTTACATTTGATTTAAAAAATCTATATGACTTTTTGTCAGTCTTCTATAAACTCTAAAAAGTCCCCTCAAGTCTTTTATTTGTTTTTCAAAGGAAATATAATGATTTTAGGTATGTTTTCTTTTATTATTTGTGTGTTTGTCGGGAAATTTAAACAGATTTGAAATGCCCCTCTGAACCCTCTGTGACTGCATGTTTACTTTTGTTGCATTTAACTGCATTTTGAAACCAAACCACCCTCAGCTGAAGACACAGAAACAGTAAACTCTCCTGAATCCATCAGCTGATGAACAGGAGTTTGGTTTCATTCCTGCAGCCTCAATTGAGACAGAATCCCTGAGAACATGAGGCATAGACAGTAGACGCAGTGATGCCTTGCCACAAAGCACTAAATCAAGCTGAGGCAGATATGGACACACTGTGGCACACACTCATATGACTGGTCATAGGAACCTCTGACACCAGCTGTGTATTCAGTAAACCAAACTCCATCTACATTCCAGTCACTTTAACCCAGTGATGTTTTGGTGGTGTGTGAAGATGTCTGTTCATGATCAAGTCCACTGACTGATGTGTGAGGAATGTTGTTTTAGTTACTGTGATAAACAATGATGTTATACCAAATCACACCATTGGGAACTGGTTCTGATTCTCCCTGATTTTTAAAGATATGGCTTCTAAAAAAGTCTTGTTGTTTTTGTGAGATCAGAACAACGTGTGAGCTTTGTTGGCAGGCAGGCTGAGGCACGAGCCCAAGAAGGTCGTGCTCAGATAAATAAAGTTTATATGCAGCCGTGCGCTCTGAAGATTAGGATGCTGATGACTTTTTCTCCTTTTGCCGCAGGTGAATCTTCATGTGTCTCCTCCTCTCGTCGCTGCGCGCGAACTTCCTCCCACACTGGTCACACGAGAAGGGTTTTTCCCCGGTGTGAGTACGGATGTGGGTGGTGAGGTGGTCACTGCGGCTGAAGTTCCTCATGCAGATGCGGCACTGGAAAGGTTTGTGGCCGGTGTGGATGCGCAGGTGCCTGCTCAGCTCGTCAGATCGGGAGAACCGGCGATCACAGCTCTCCGCCGGGCACGGGTACGGCCTCTGGTGGACTGGCGTCTTGCTAGGCCTGTTCGGATACTTTCTTGGTCTCAGGATTGGTCTGAGAGGGAGGTTCTGGTGACCGGGGAAAGCTGCAGCCATCGGGCCCTCTGCGGCTGGCGAGGGCGCCCCAAGCGTAAAGTTCCTGATGGTGTTAAGAGGGGTGAGAGGCGGAGGAACCCTGAGGGAGTCCAGCGGGTAGGGGAGGGATTTCCTCTCCGGGAAAGCCGCCTGGATATCTCTCTGGCAGCTCTGCTGATAAAAGCCTCCATATTCTGGCATGATGGAAAGCAGCGCGGAGCCATCAACAGTCGGTTTGGGCATGGAGTTGTAGGACGGAGGCGCGTGGTAGGACACAGCGCAGGTGGATGTCGCCAGGTATCCCCCCGCTGATTGGTCCTGGTACATGTCCCCGCTGCAGGAGTAGGAGGTTGCCGGGTGAGGATGCGGGTGGGGGTGAGGGGGCGCGTACATGTGGCTGATATCGGGTTGGCCGTGCGCCATGGTGCCGTCCCCCGCGTCCGCTGTGTCTCCCCCTTCTCCACTTGCTGCGTAAAGACCTGGGGATGCCGAGGAAGATCCTGACTCGGTTATCGGCCCCGGGTTGGATATGTCAGCGCTGACCACGTTGATGATGTCCCCTGGTGTCCACTGACCTCCTGCACCCCTAGAGTCCACCGAAAACTTCCCGGTAAACGCCACAGGGTGTGTGCGTAAAGTGGCCACGTATTGCGCCAAGTCGCCGTGGAAGAGTAGCTCAGGTGCGCCCTTCTCTTCAAACAGAAGATCACCTGAAACACGTGGATAAATGCACTCAGTTAGATTGCAAATAAAGGGATTTTGTTTCTTACATGCGCAACACACCATCATAACGGTAGACTTCTTCGGCACATTTTGCTAAAATACAGACATAATTTAGGTCTTGCATTTCCCTAGAAACAACAAAACTCACCGCTCTCATCCTCTCCAGGTTTCCCTTCAAGCTCTTCATCTCCTAAAACCTCTTGTTTGAAAACAATCTGAGATGGCAGACCATCCTCTGTTGCGTAAACATCTTTAGGAATACTGTCTACAATTCCGCTGAGAGACCCAGAAACTTCATCAGCTATCTTAGCAGTCATCCTGTCTGCGAGACGAAGATCAGCCGTTTTGAACTAACTAATTGAATATTCGAGTCACTTTCTCCAATTTTCTGTCTGACTGCCTCTCAAACATTGTGACTAATGTGCCTCATCTTCTCTGTTAACCCTTGTCTCCTCCGCCTCTCATCTCTTGTTAATAGCGCCTGGATGCTGCAGTATGGTTATAAAGGGGATCTCTGGGTCTCCCGTTACGTCATTTACCAAATATGGACTTGAGTTTGGAAAAAAAGGCGAAGAGGGAACTCCAGAAATAGGACTGGTGGAGCGCGCCGTGACGACGCGTGGAAACAATTAAAACGACATGGTCCCGTTTGGAAAAATATAAGAAATTTTGATCATTAATGACCACTATTGCACGTGTTTTATTCTAATATAAACCACAGACATAAGCACGTGCATGTTGCTGCTCAGACTTGTCTGGGGGATAAAAACAAAGCTCCATGATTCGGAATTCCGGTCCCACTTATTCCATACATGGACTCTCCGGTGAGGTGAGAGGATCCCGCTCTGCTTATATGGCTGGTATCCGGGTAAAGTGTGTTACATTATGTTGTCTTTGTGCCAGCTGAGCCCACACACTGACTGCACGCAGCCATTTGTTTTCTCCCCCTGCCTTGTCAAGAACAGATTAGTGCTCTGCTCTGACTGAGGCTCGCTATTGTTGGCCCCGCAGAGATAGATGGCGTGATTAGTGAGAGAATAATCACTAAATTCACTTCCTGGAGACGCTGCGTGCTGATGGTGTCCCCCTCAGGCAATAAAAGAATAAACAGGGGAGTTTTTTTTTTCTATAAGATATTGATGAAGATGAAAGGCACACTCCCACATGCAGGGATGTTTGCTGATGAAGAGACAAACTCCTTGGCTGGTGACAGGTGGCTGCGATACAGCATCAACACGACATGTGACTGCTGTTTTGGATCTGTGTTACAAATATTAGTTTAACCAATAAGTAAATTGTGCCAACTAACCAGGGAGACACCGTTTCACTGTTCTCTCTCATAATGCACACATCTTTTACATGAATCATCAACTGTGGAGTAAGGTTTCTGTCTGACTCTTTTGTAATATTAGCCAAAGTAATATGTAAAGAGCCTAACAGTCCAAAGAAGAGCTGGGTCATACAAGAATCTCAATACAAAACGTGATGTAGGGGAGACCGGGGCTTGTTGTCAGACTTTTTACACTCTTAAATATTTCTTGGAATCAATATATCATGTATAAACAAAATGTGTAGCAGATGAGAGACTAAAGTCTCAGGTATATATTTCATATTCATGTCATTTTCATATCTTGTGTCAGTGTAGAGTTATAAGCAATCAAATAGAGAGAGTTAACATGTGACATGTTGCCTCACCATCAGATTAGTTGTCTCACTACATAAGGTAAGATGTCATGGTTGATTTTGCAGCTAATAAAACAAGGACAAAATTATTGTTGTTCTCATTTTTTACTTGAAAGTGAACATCAAAGTCAGGCACAGAAAATGTTTATCATTGAGCAAGAAGAAGTCGTTGAACAAATGTTAACATAAAATATTTTGCAACATGCTCTGGAATTTGGAGATCTGTCTGACTCTGTATTTCGGCTGGGGTGAATGTTTTGCTGTACTGAGCTGAGCTGAGCTGAGGTATGGTAGTTGATATTGATAGTCCTTTATTGTCCTCCAGATTGATTTATTAGTTAGGGTCACCTGCCTGACTGCCCTCAGCATCATGTCAGGTACTGCACTGCCATGTTTTGTTTTTCTTTTTAAATTCCTGACCATGTCTTCTCGCCTTCTCCTCTCCTTTAAACCACTCTTTACTCTTTAAAAATAAAGTCAAAATTTCAATATGACAACTGCCGATAAGCGAACTCTCTATGTTAATTTTGATCCCTTTTAAACAACAACTAACCCCAAAATGACTGAAACATGTTGCCCCAAACTACCATGTTTGCTAATTCTAGCTCTATCTTAAAGTTAGCTTCAACCAGAACAATGACTGAGGTATGACAGGATGCCTTAATCTCTCCTCTAACAAGTCCACATGTATCACTGCTTGGATTTTTACCTTGAAGAAGCTTATTTTAAAATAAATAGTTATTTTTTTTACTTTTGGTTGTGCGAAATGGTTTATTGGTGCTCATCTCAGCTCACAATGTGCTCTTCTCTTCTCAGACAAGACACGACCTCTGACCATGTAAAGGAATAAAACTAGTAATCCACTTTTTAGTTGCGCGCTCTGGTGGCAAAGATAATTGCAATGTGACAACTTACCCATGTGACAACAAGCCCTGGTCTCCCCTAGTTTACTGAGACAAAAGGGAACTTTTTATCAATCCAACAGCCCTTTGAGCAGGAAAATAAACACAAAACAGCCTGCAAGACTTTAGTCTTTAGCTTTGCATGGATAATATCCCCATTCCATATTACAGATCATTGTTTGAACCATCAGAAGTTAAATATCAGTATAAATGGGAATCAATGAGTGGGACCGAGAAGCTGCAAAAGATGGTGAAAGCAAAGCAAACTCACATTATCCTTGCAGGCTGAGAGAACCACACTCAAAAAAATAACAAAATGTCAAATATATGGAGGTTGTTTGGATAGCTCAAAAATCCTGAATCACAAATTGAGACACCCTGGGTCTTTAAGTAACTCCTAACTAAACACTCAGAGCACTACTCTTGTGGTCAAACACGTGAAAAGTAAGGTGATGCAAGAAAGTCTGAGTAGGCGGTGGTGGTGGGTGGGAGTGATGGATGGGTCAAAGAACAGAGGACTATGAACCACACCCTGATCTCTCCCTAAAAATAACCCTGTACTTTTGGTGCTCATGCAAATACAACACTGTAACTGTTTCACAATATCTGCAATAAGAAAGGCTGTCTGTCTGAAAACGAGAGTAAAGGTACAAATCAGACTTTCACTGACTCTTTTTGCCTCTTTATGAGTCACAGACAGAAAGTATATATATTTTAAGACTTCATCTTATGAAGATTACAGATGAAATGTATTTGTTTTAGTTTCTTTATGTTTATTAAAAATAAATTTACTTTAAACTGCGATCAGAACAAAAAAGTGAAAGCTGTGTGCCAGAATCAATGTCGTAGAAATGTGGCATTTTTCTGTGTATTTTCTTTCAAATGTTGGTGCCTACATTAACCCTTAATGCAATTTAACTTCCACCTCTTCCACATGTCCATACTGCAGTAATGTTTTAACACCTTTACTGAAATCCCAAAACAGCTGTGAAAGACTTCTACAAGTCCATGAAATCACACAGACACATATACTGATATTCAGAGGAAAAACCAGGGCCTTTCCTGCAAAACACCTTCATGTTCATCTTTTCGTATCAGGACAAATGTGGAAAATCTGCCATTTCTTAGATTTTAGCACATCATGAGCCGTCTTGTAGCACCCACCTCCAAGGCAAACTGCCATCCTCTCACATAGGATGAAATCACTGGTGTGCACTTAAAGGTGAGTGGGTCCACTGGCTCTTACACCTTCACTAGGTTCTTTTAGATGCTACTGCAAAAACAGGCTGTAATGCCTGTTACATAACCTTTTAGGACTAACACGTCCAATCACGACCATCTACCTAAGTTGATAGTTTTTACCTCTGACTGGCTTACATTAGATTGATCAAAAGTGTCGCAACATTACAGAGAGAATCACTGCAGCAGCTGAACGGAGTTTTAATTTATGAGTATTTCTTAATTTTATTGAACGTTCATTTATCCAGGTTGGTCCCACTAAGATATAAAATCTCTTTTTCAAGGGAGGCCTGGCAAGATGGCAGCAAAAGCACAAAGAGGGAACAACAGTACAGTCTATGAACATTCAAATTAAAATGCAGAGAGAAACTATCTCCGAGTCAGATGTGCAACCAGGTAATCTAAATCAAACATTCTCATAAATCCTCTTCAAATTCTTTCGTTTTAGATTGAAGTCACTCTGTGATCATATCCAGGCTGAGGGCACAGTGAACTTTAAAACCCTTCTATCAATATCTGTATGAGCTTTTGGGACAGAGAGCAAAAGGAATACTGTGCAGCACTTTTCTGTGTGAGTGACAAAATACAAAAAATAGTGTGGGAGCAGGTCAACAATTGCCTCATAAACGAAGGTGTACCAATGTATCCACCTTTGGGTTGCCAGAGAGAGTATAAATCACAATGATGAGTAAGAGGAGGCATGGTAAAATCATATGACAATATTGAGTAGGGGACTACAAAAGGTCATCTTAGTCCAGCTGCCCTTGGCTTATAAGGATCTGACTTTAAAGACCGACTCAGATGAAAATCAGGTTTTTCTTGTTGTCTACATGTTCATATGGCATTTTTCTGATGCTACAGGACATATCGTGAGAAAACGAAGAGTAAAATGCATTTCTCAGTATTTCTGCATTCAAATCTCTGTGAACCTCTGGCAGATCCAAATAGCAGGTTCAGACACAGTGAGATTTTCTACGGCACAAATCCAAGCTCCATCCCCCAGAGCCCCGCTCTGTAGGCCAGACTCCAAGAAGTAGAGAGGACGATCACAGAATAAGCATGTGCAGTAGTAGATTGCAAGGCTCATTAGAAAGCTTATTATGATACTAGCTTTCATTATGCCTCCAAAGACATTAGAGCTAAATAGCTCCTATGTTACCTGCCACTTCTACTACACCGGTAATGTTAGGCTGCAAGCTAGCTGAAGAGGAGTGTGCAGAGCAGCGCTGTCTCAGAGGCGAATTGCTAATGAGTTCTTGAGAAGAAAAGCCCTTAAAAATGACTCAGGTAACGTGATTTTGGGTAAATACTTCACAATCACTATTTAAAGACCACTGAAAACACTTGAAGTAGTTAAAAAATGATTGAAGTGGGACTTCAACAAAAAATGTCAAGCTTATTTCTTTAAGAAATATTGTGTAACTGTCTATATTTGGCAAAATAACCCTGAAGATTACAGTTTTTCTCTATCACAACTCATTTTGTAGCTGATGACTCCAGCAATCTACTGGGTTAATCCCACAAAATGTGACATCCATTCAGATTTCAGCACAAACATATGCAATAAAAAGAAATGTTTCAATAACAGGACTCTGCTATCCTCTTCAGAGGAAGAAATCGATTGATTCTGGCCAAGACCTACAATCAAGAAGTAAAAGACCGAATCCCTTCTGATGTTTGTTATGTAAACAGGATTCGTGCTACTTCATCTCTTCGATTTTGCTGATTAGAAAGTAGATCAAGCTGAAGCTTTCTGCTGGATCAGTGAGCTGCAGAGGCGAACAGAGCGAGCGGGAGGACTGCAGCTCTCTGAGTCTTTTGAACGCCCACAGTTACAAAAATGTTGGTGTGTATTGTCGTTGTGTGGCGAGCCGCCCACCCTGTGGCAGATGGGGGGTTTGCTCGGTCCTCTCGCTCACACACACACACACACACACACACACACACACACACACACACACACACACACACACACACACACACACACACACAGCAGTGAACAGACTCAAACCTAAAACACACACTTTGAGAACACACAAATACTCCCACACTAACATGCATGCATACTCACAAACACACAGTTTCACTCGGGTTTTTCTCTGCAACAAACACACACTTTCTCTGTCAGACTGTCGAACAAACACACACAAATCCACCTACATACACACAATCATTTTCCTCTCCTCACACACACACACACACACACACACACACACACACACACACACACACACACACTGCTCCGTGGGGACGGTGCCCTGCTTCCACCCTTCGCCCACGCTCCTCCGGGCCGCTGAGGCTCTGGGGGGTTTCTGGTTTTGTGTTTGGTGGCTCAGGGTGTCAGCCAGGGGTCCGGCGGCTCGGCAGACCCCACCACGCCGATTAATCATCTGTCATCTGCGTGTTTTGTTAATATGGATCTTTGTCTTCATCCTCAAACGAAGCTCGAGTCGGGCGGCTCGGCCTGCTTACCGCCTGCTGCCCCCTTTTCCATTTTTGCAACCAAGCGTCACCGAAAAACAACAACAAAACAAGCAAACCACCTCTTTATGTGGCTGTGAAAGTTTCGTGAAGTCACCTGCTGTTTGAATGAAATTTATGACCTTTGAGACCTTTTACAACAATCGAACACAGCTATGTCAAAAATCATGAAACCGAGCAAACAATAGGGGCCTTATTATCACTTCCTTGGAAAAAAATTGAAGTCTTAAACGCAGATCTGCACATTTTTCTTATTTGGTTGGCACTGACTGCTGCTAGTACCTTCACACCTCTCCTAACAAACTACCTGATCAGATCATTTATGCTAAATCCGAATCTGAACCTCCAAACCTAATTTTTTCCAAACTAGTGATCACTTTACAGTTTCCTGATGTAAATAAACAGTTTTAACTTGAATTCATTTTGATGCACTGCCAGTCAGAGCAAAGGCTAGATGATCTCCAGACTAGACTCTGTACTCAGAAATCACATTAAATCCTGTGAAAGAAATCCCCATCCTCTGAAAAAACCCGTCCCTGTCAGCATCAAGACACTCAGACTTGAAATAAACACCATAAATCATTTGAATTTTCTGCCCGTACTTGTGCCAGAATGGTAGGTGTTTTTCAAATGGTGAATGAGTCACTTAGGAAGGAAACGCTTCTATTCTTGTTTTAAAAAATATTTGATAAATGATCGCCCAAAAGTACCCGATACTCTCTCTCTCTCTCTCTCTAATGAAATTGCCATTAGACTTGACTTATGCTGAATGCGTAGGTGTTGTTAAATTCAGTGAAGGGAGAGTGTCGGCCTGATGAAGCCAAACAGACGACAGGATGAATAAAGCTCCATAAATCATTTTGATATGTTCATCTGCTACGTAATAAATTGGTAGGTGTCCCTCAGATTTCTAATTTTGGGATGAATTTCTACATTAACCTGCAGATGAGTCTGGGTTTGGGAGGTTTAGGCGATGAACCCTCAAACTAAAGGCATCAATAGAAGCGATTGCATATTCATGGGAAATGTATTGACTGCTGAGTGTCAGATAATAGACAGGAGCGTCAATGGCCATGGAGCCGCAGTGAAAGGCCTCAACACTATCTGTGGGACCAGAAAGTGTCGCCGCTCACTCTCAGAGCTTGTTCTCTGATATCGAATGAAGATAATTAGCTTCCAGAGGATCACGGTTGAGAATAACTCTCAGTATTTATGTGGCCAAAAGATTGAGAAGTCCAAAAGTTGGACTGTTTAGGGCCATATCTTTTTAAACTACATGCAATTAGGACATTTTATACACTTAATCAGTATTCATGATCCAGTTGCAGAAGAGCAATCAAATCAAATTAGAGAATCGTCCATTAAAGCGACTACGCTGTTTCTTTTTATTAATCACGAGATGAATAAAACGCCTCATGTTTTATGCCACTCAGCAATTTACTGGAGTATCAAAGAGTAAAAAATAAATGTCAGAAACTAAAAAGCTCAAAACCAGGTTGCAGCTACAACAAATATCACACAAGTGCAATTTAGGGCAGCTGTATGGTCGTTCGCTCTCCTTGACCATGATGGTCAATTTTTCCAACATGATGAAATGAGGCCTGTCTTATTGGACACAATTTGGAAAGGACACTCTGAAAAAGCACAAATAAACTTAAAGCTATTAATATAGATGCAAGTGTAATTCTTTAATTCGAATTTATTGTTCTTGCATTTGGGAAGCCAGCACTAAACAATATTAATCAGTTTTACTTGAAAAACACTTTAAATTATTGACCAATAAGACAAATCTCAGCAGAATTTCCTGTGAATTCTTCATTGGATTAACATCTTGTGTATGAAGAATGATGGAAAGCATCAGCCATCCCTTTAACATATCTGTCAGATTTTTGTCCAGAATACTAACATTCATTTTACATTCTGTTTACTGGAACTTAGTTTTAAATTTTTGTTGGATAAAGAAAGTCTCCTACATGAAACATATCGTATTCACATAGTAGAAAACACCATTGTTTTCGCTGTTTTCTCAAGACATTATAGAATACATATGTATTTATTCATGTATTTATGACTGATAGAGTCTTTGGTTTAAACTCCACTTTTGTTACTGCCAATACTTTATTTTGATAAACTGATTCTCTTTGCTTACTAACTGATATAGTCATACTTTAATGTGAGAGGACTTTGTTGAAGCACAAATACTGGAGAAAGGTTCTTCTGTGAATTTAACTATATCTGTGATTTATTGTCCTTTGTGTGACTGAAATACACATTTAAGGACCAACAGTAAAGATACTCTATTACACTTTGTTTTATTTTCATTCATTACCGATCAGCTCTGTAGAGAAAAAGCGACATCTGCTTTTAAAATAGTTATAAAAGGTTTATTCAAACAACTTCAGAGCTTCTCCTGGTGCCTATATACTTGAGAAGTTTTAGCTTTAAGTGAATGATAACAGA